AAAAATTGAATAAAGTTCCTGCAAAATGCTGTTGGACTGCTGCTTCTGCCCATTAATGAGCTGACAACAGAATTTGCTGCTTTGGGCAAGTGCTTGTATTAATTATTTTCATTTCTTTAAGAGAACAAAGCCCTTTTAAAAATATCACCATGGGATGGGAAAAAAAAATCACAGTAATATAAAAGACTGCCACAGGATAATTACATTTTTTAAAATAACACCTTGTGACCCAATGTGACAGCTCTTCTTAATTTTCACTGTGGATGTACAGAGCCTGCAATAAATGTGCTCACTGACGGTCTAAGTCCAGGTCTGAGCACTTCAAATGTTTATACAGTCCCTAAAAAAGGGTATTTATTGTTGTTGGAAACCACAAAGCAATTCTACAGTCGTATACTTGATGAAATTTTAGTACTAGCACTTGAAAGGGAGCAGCATGCATCAGTGTGACAGAACCAGATTACTTCAGCAGACTGAAAATGTGTTCTCATTATGTCATTAGGGATGAAAAATAAGCAATAGATAAGAAAAAATGGCTCAGTAACTTCACTGAAATGTCTGGAAATGAGATAGGGCTTTTCTTTCTAACATTCACTGCATGCAGCTCAGAAAACTGCTGCAAGGCTCTGTCTGAGTGGGACTGCCAACCTATAAAAAGATCTATTTACTCAACTCTTGCAGATTTCCTGTTCAGAATCTCAGCTGGGGAAAACAGGAGGGGCTGGAAAACTTCATATCTGCCTCAGCAGCATCTCACCTGTAATGTGTCCATTGTGTTCCTTCAGCTCGTGAGCCTTCACCCACTGGTTCCCACTCTTCTTGTAGATGTGCACTTCATGGTTATTAGGGCTAATGGCAATCTCTTGAAGGAAGAAATAAAACAATCCAATTGTACAGAAGGTTTTTTAATAGCAAATGCTATATTTGGAAAGACTTTTCCTATCTAAAACCTCTATTCACAAATTTGAGAGCATTACATGGGCTTTGTAAACAAAGGGGCAAAATCCCTGGAAAATCTCCATGGAATGGTTTGGGTTGGAAGGCATCTTTAAGATCATCCAGTTCCAACCCCCTACCATGGACAGGGACACCTTCCACTATCCTAAGTTGCTCCAAGCACCATTCAGCCTAGGCACTTCCAGGTACAGTTTCTCTGGGAATCTGTGCCAGGGCCCCCCCATCCTCACAGGGAAGAATTTCTTCCCAAAATCCCATCTAACCCTGCCGTCTGGCAGTTTGATATTGGTACACATACCATGGCCATGAGTACTCTGCAGAGGAAGACAACACATTTGGAACACAACTCTCCACATTAGATAGAAAACTTGGCCAAGAGGCAAAGCTTTGTGGAATACCAACAAGACTTAATTATCTCCTATGCCAGAGTTCAAGCAACAGGCTTAGAAAAGCTTAGAGTTGGAAGACTTGTGCTTTTGGGATCAGAAGTAGAACATTTAACATGTAGAACTATGTATCTGACCACACTTTCTCTAAATGTGACCCAGAACATCACCAGATCAAAAACTAACAGCAGAAAGAAAACAGCAATTGAAAAAAAGATAAATTAAAAATGGAAATGAACTTATTACTTACGAGTACGGTCTCTGTTCCAGGCATGGCAGGTGATTGGCTCCAGCAGGAACTGATGCAGAGACATTCCGAGTTAAAGAGATTCCTATGTTGTAAAAAGTGAAAAGGCTGAAAGGTGTAAAATTGAAAAGAAAATGCTTCAAAATGAGAGAATTAATAAAACCAAGTTAACCTTCAAAATTTACCGAGCATCTTTCAGTGCAGTGTTACAATTTATTTACAGATCACAACTTAATAAATATGATAAGGCTGCTCAAGAGCTGCTTGTGGCACACCCCCAGATATTTTCAGTAGAATGATGGATTTGCATTGTCCTGCTTATGTCAGCTAATTGCAATTGCCCTAAAAGCCAGATAAACTCGCTTCTTTGTGTATCCTCACAGACAAGAGAGCAGGTTCTCAAGAAATCTAATAAACCTATTAATTTTACTATGGAAATAGAACAATCAAAAAAATAAGTATCTAGGACAAAGGTCAGTGAAATGATTCTAAAGCCTGACTTGTATCCAGGCTCACAGGCAGCACTACAACAAAATCTTTTTTTCAGGAAGCCAAACTGATGTGTAACTGTGATCTGCTGATACATTATTTGATAAAATCATTTATATGTACCCTACAAAAAAATCACTAAGATTAGTAATTAACTGATTAGTAATTTCTTCAAATTAATTCTAGCACGGAACTGTTTGATAATCAGGCTTCTGCCCCATGAAATTCAAACACTAAAACAAGCCGGATCATTGTAGTTTTTGAGTATCATGTTTAAAAAAGGCTAAATACCCATTATTTTCCGTAACTGATGGTTGTTACAAGAAACACTGCTGAAAATATGCAACTGGAGGCACATCCATCCACAAAGTTGTTTAAAATGTTTTTATTATATTATCTTCCATCCATTTATGCTGCCTTTGGTTTAATATAGGGCATGGAGTAATATATTTTTGAAATTAAAATATTTTAGACATTAAAAAAGTATTCTAAATATTGAAATACTTTAGGTATTAAAATATAGTATTCTATGTGCTGTATTAACCAGAGCAACACAAATGGATGAAATGTAACACCATAAAAACTCAGGGTCACCTGTAATAACAAAAATGTGCACAATTCAACACATCCAACTTGGACTTGTCAATTCCTTTCTTATATTCCACTAATTTTTACAGCAATTTATCACTGCCTGATGGATCAAAGCATTTTTACCCCCACATATCCATCTTAAAAGAACTATCTCCGTGATGTCATTCCAAGACATCCACACCCATTACAGCCTGGAATTACAACATACCCAAGTATGGCCATGTTAGCAGAGGGTGGAGACTTCAGGACAAGGTAGGAATTTGGAAGCAAACAGGAAATGAATGGCAATCCAACAGAAACTTGGGAGTGAAAGGATGAGTATGCTCTCAGTGAGCCTCAGGAATTACTATCACACCATCAGTTTAACAAATACCTTGAAAGTGCTGGATCTTGGAGCAGAGGTGAGACAGTATTTCACCAATGCAAGTAACTGTAGAGACTTTTTATTTTATTTAGTTTTTTTGTTTAAGGAAACTGAGCACTGTTATTCTAAAAATATGCAAATTATGGGTTCATTTCAAATGTACTTGAAATACAACTTTTAACAATACAAACTTTTAGTCCAGCTCATAATTTTAACCAGCACGATTTTCACAGTTCTTATAATAATGACATTCCACCAATCAAATGAAGTATTAAATACACACAGTCCTAGGCAAAATAATTAATTATTGTTTGTTAATGTGAAAATGTTGCCATCATCTGGGTTATTTCTGCCCTTGGACATCCATCATTTGGGATTCCACGTGTGGAAGCAAAACACAACTGCAAAGTGCTTTTTCCAGGATCTTGCTTTAGCTCCTGCCAACATTCAGTAGCAGCACATTTCCATATACAGGAAAAGTTCAAGAGCTGTTCCACCAACAAGGAATGCTCAGCCTTTGCTACTCTTTCCGAAATAAAATGTAAAAATATCCACTCTCCTCTCCCCAAGGAATGCAGCTATTTTGAAACACTTTCTAATACAACTGTAGTATTTTATTCACAGACTGGCATTACATATAACATATGGTCCCACCCTAACTCTTAGTTCAGGTATTTAGGCTGAGCTGTTCCCAAAACCTATCCAAAGTTGTATGATCTATTCCTTCCCATTGATTGAATTACCTGAGCTCCACAACTGGCTACAAGCCACCTTTTTCTATTTTGGTTTGGTTACAAACCCACAAAACACGATGATAACCTCAAAAAGCACTGCTATTTCTGTCTCCTGATAGGCACAGTGATATTTTCTTTGGGAAGACAAATCTTAAAGAACTTTTCCAGTTATATTTATTCTTTACTAATAGACAGACAAAATCTAGCTTGTATTTCACTAAAGAAAATGCTGCTGGCTTTATAATTCTTGATAATCTCAATGCCTTCCTGTCATCCAACCCCAGAATCTCACATGGGGAAGATACTGGTATGACTTTGTTACCGAGTACTTAATGCAACTCTCCCTCAGTTTTATTTCAAATGGAAAGCAACTGACTTTGAGTTTCAATAAAATATTTTAAAATGGATTTTAAAATGGAGAAAAAAAGGGAAATTCTGCACCTTTGTAGAGAAGCTCTTTCTGTTCAAGGCCTGAAAGGATCGAGGCTGGGATGTACAGCACTCAGCTGCTGTCACCTCTTCTGGGGTGAGAAATATATGGTGAATGGACGAACAACTAGCCAGGATACAGACTCAGAAGTGAAGATAGAATGTTTGTGTGTGACAGCGAGAAAGGGATCTTTTTAATCCATTCTCGGAGCACCTACACCACTTCCAACCCCCTGGAAGCCAAGCACCTGCGATGAAGAACAGCCCCCAGCACTGTCCGTCGCTCAGCGCGGATTTCCCGGGGGGGCGGCTCATCTCGGGCACCTCCTGGCACAAGGCACCGTCAGCACGATAAACCCGCCGCGATGGGCACGGACCGTGAGCTGCGGCCCTGCCAGCACAGGGCACGGCGGGGATATGAGGGGCACAGCGGGGGATATGAGGGGGCACAGCGGGGGAAACGGAGGGCAGCTCCTCGGGCTCGCCTCTCTCAGCCCCTCACGGCGCCCACCGCCTCACCCTCAGCAGGGCGTCCCCAGCCCCTCGGCGCGGCGATGCTGCGCTGCATCCCCCCACCGCGCTCCGCTGACGCCGGCGGGCCTGCAGGGCTCCCCCGATGGCTGCCGCGGCCGGGACTCACCTGAGGCGGCGGGGGCGGAGCGGGACTCGCGGACTCTGGGCAGTCAACGCGACTCCGCTCCGGCGGCGGCAGAGGCCGAGCGGGCCCGGCTCGGACACGGGCGGCAGGAAACGCGCTCGGCGCCTGCGCCGCCAGCCCGCCCCGCGCCAAGGGCGGAGCGGCGCCTGCGCGGCCCCTCAGGGCGGGCCGGCCGCGGCTCGGGGTGAGGAATGGAGCTTTGAGAACATAAAATCCGCTGTCAGTGCCCTCCTTCCCTTGTGGACCCTAAGCCACCCTCAAACGCTTCCAAGAGTTGTCACTCCACCGCTTAGCTGGGTAAGCTGTTCCGATGTCTGACCACCCAAGTAGTGAAAAAAAGATTATAACATCTAACCTGACTCTCCAGTGCTTCAACTTAAGGCCATTTCCTTCAGTCCTTTCTTCACTGCAGGCAGGGTAGAAGAGGCTGGATCCCACCTCAATACAGCCTTCTTTCAGATCTACTGCTGTACTCAGCCTGGAGGACAAGGAAGGAAAATGAAAATAAGGTATTTCCTCCTGCCAGATTGCTTCTCTGAGGAGAAAAAAACAAAGGTGTGGTTATTAATTGTTCCCAGTAGATGAGTCCCAAAATACAGAGGTGCCACAGTGCTGGACACACACATGAGATTGGGGTTCCAAACACCAGCACTCATAACCCATCCTAAGGGATACATCACAGAGAATCTGTACTGGTATAATCACTGGTATAACGGAGACAAAATGCCACAAATATGAGAGCAAAATAAATCCACACTGAGTCTCCTTGAGACTAACCCAACCCAGTTCCCTCAGCCATGACTTAAAAGGTTTACTAGACCTTTCATGAGCCTTTTGCCCTCCTCTGTGTTCAGCACCTCAATGTCCTTTTTGAATGGGAAACCAGAACTGAACTCAGCACTCGAGGTGTGGTGTCACCAATGCTGCGCACAGGGGGATGATCACTGCCCTGGTCCTGCTGGCCACACTGTCCCTGAAAGGGAAAGATGTCCTTGGAGGGGACAGGGCTGCTCTGGAGCCAGGCTGGGAAAGCTGGGAGTGTTCAGCCTAGAGAACAGAAGATCCAGAGAGACCTTAGAGCCCTTTCCAGGACCTAAAAGGGCTCCAAGAGGGCTGGAGATGGACTTTGGACAAGGGCCTGGAGGGACAGGACACAGGGAGTGACTTCAAAATGAAAGAGGGCAAGGTTAGATGGGATACTGGGGAGAAGTTCTTCCCTGTGAGGGTGAGGAGACCCTGGCACAGATTTTCAGAGAAGCTGTGGCTGGCCCTGTATCCCTGGAAGTGCCCCAGGCCAGGTTGGATGGGGCTTGGAGCAACCTGGGACAGTGAAAGGTGTCCCTGCTCATGGCAGAGGGGTGGAACTGGATGAACTTTAAGGTCCCTTCCAACCAAACCATTCCATGATTCTGTGATTGAGGGTTGGAATATCAAAATAAGTTAATGAGCAATAATTTGCCCTACTCTTAATCCCCTCGAGGAATTGCCTCCTCCTTGGGGTCTCATGATTTTTCTCCTTCAAACTTGTGAGATTTTGTGAGCTTAAGTACAAGAATAATGAACAAAAAAGTCTGGGAAAATGGGGAGGGATAAATGAGTCCCAGATATACTGAGGAGCAATAGAGTAGTGAGTTTAATTTCAAGTCTGAGAGAAAATAAACAATTTATAAGCATCTCAAAGGAAAAAAAAGAAGGTGAATGCTGGCCAGTATGGCTTTGTCAGGAATGAATTGAGCCAATCTAATTTCCTCTTCTGGCAGCATAACAAGGATTGCAGATAAGGGCGAAGCAATGTATGTAATATATCTTGATTTTTAGTAGAGTTTCTGACACTGGCTTGCAGGGTATTCTAATAATAAACTGGGAAACCAGTCTAGATGATACTGCTCTAAAGAGTTGCAAAACTGGTTGAGGGAAGAAGTACTTAATATCAGTGCTTGTACAGGGAATTACCTGTGCATTACTCATCTGTGATGCAATAACGCAATTACTGCATCTGAAACTGAGATCAAGTTCAGAATAAACACAGTGGCAGAACCAGGATTCAAAACAGGAGCTCTGAGGTAAAAATGGGATGTGGTTGGGCAGCAGGTGCACTGCTGTTCACTCCAACACCATCAGCTTCAGATTTACACCACTGGGAATAGGGCAGCTGCAGGGGAGGGTGGAGGGGATGCTGAGGGTCAAAAGCTGAACAGGAACAAAAAACATCTTTTTGCAGATGAGGTAAACTCCACACAGCCCCACGTGGGTAAGAAAATCAGAGTAACACACACAAAGGAATCCTGCTCTGCTGAGCTGCATTAGAAGAGCATTAGAGTCCTGTACAGAGAAATGTGGATGATTTGAGGAAGAAGGTGGCAATAATGATCTTTGAACACATGACTTCAGCTGAGCTTGTTGAGAGGACAGAAAACTGAGGGAAGATGTGCATATCTTGGAATAGATGAAAGGCTGCTGCTCTGAGGAGAGGAATAATTTGTTCTCCTATGGCCACAGGGTAGAGCGAGAAGTCATAAACAGAGAGAACAACAAGGCAGATCTGGGTAAAAAATTGCCAACAACTACTTTGAAGTAGTGAAGCCCTGTGTTAGGAGCTGATTTTACAGGATGGAGGGCTGCTCTGAGGAGTTGTTAAGAATGGATCTGAAATATTTGTCAGGATGGCAAAAGTGCAGTACAAGGTCTTGTATTCAAGAGGTGAGAGAGGATGGCCTTTGTCAGTGGTCCTGTGGCTCTGTGCCTGCAAGATGTGTAATCAGTGCAGCCCTTATTGGCTTAACAATGAACCTACCTCAGCTGCAGGGATTAAAGCCACACAACTAGGCCGAGCAGAGTTATGTAACTGCAACAAAATTACATTTTAAGTACGGTTTTATGTTTACAAAATTACTTTCACCAGATGGAGGGAGAGCATCTAAATGAGGAGATCTGCAGAGGTTTTAAGCATTAAAAGCTAAGACCCTGTCTCCAGTGTAGTTTCCCAAAGATTTTTCCACCACTGCTCCTGCTGTAATGCTGATACAATTGCTCTGTGCTAATCCAGGGAGGATGCTGATGTTTTTGAGATTACAGCCTCACAAGCGATGCTGAACTGATTTTAGTGAAAGTGGTTTCAGTGCAATCTGACCTTAAGGTATATATGAAAAAAAGATTTAAGCTGGGACATCCTCATTCAGCTACAGGGTAGCAGCTAGTCAAAAAGAGATCTGGAAGCAAGCTGTTTGATACACAAACAAGTAACTGGTGAATGAAAAGTCATGGTTTGAGTGTGTTCTAGGTGTGCATTGCCAGAGGAGCTGTTTTAGCCTCTCAGTTGTTTGAATTTGCTGTTTCTGTGCTCTCTGCCCTCCTGTTGTGATGCCTTACATCTTGAGTTTGAACAGAATATGATGTTCTGCCTTCTCGCTGTGAAAAATACAAGGTTTCCCCCATACACTAAACCTTAATAAGACTAGGAATAAAGGCTATTGATGAGAGGAATCATTTGCAAGAGATGACCTGGATCACATCTCCCATCCTTGACTTGAAAAATCTTAAATCTCTGTTAGCACAGATCCGTCACAAAGTGTTGGATGTGTTCAGTCATTCCAGATGTAGCAGGAGTGTATTATTTGCAATGTTTTGGGTCTGACACACAGGTAATTCTTTTGTCTGCAGATTCTTTCACACTTTTTCTGTCTTCTTTTGAGAAAAGATGTAGCCCTTACTGTGCACCCATTTGGGGAGTAGAAGGATATTGCTTCTTTTCCCTTTCTGTTTTACCATTAGTGAAAACATCTGTACTATCCATTAGCTGTTCCAGGAGTACCTCTGTGCCTAAAGAGACTCATGGAATATCTGTGTTCCCTTTCTCAGGGAACTGCATGAGTCAGCTGGTGTTGAGAACACACCTATGTTTTCCTCATCTCCATCCCACACCCTTTTCTGCTCTAATAAATTCATGGCAGGTGGATTCAGACATGGGAGCTCCAGCTTCCCTGAGCCACTGGCACAGAGGAAGAGGGTTGAGGCCTTGGATAACCTCCCCAGGAAGCAAAGCCTGAGACACAGTGCCAGATGTGCAGTTTGTTTAGAGCCATCCCATCTCCCTCTCCTCTGCATCTTCCACTTCCTGCATGGACTTCCTTTATTTGGCCAGGCTCTGTTCCTGTACCAGAAATGGTTTGATTTAGCAAAAGGAATCTTTGCAAAATTGACCTGGAACATGTCTGATATTTGTGCATGGTGACATCAGGGTGAGGAGAATGGGCTCGACCCTGAAGAGTTGTAGTTAATAAGTATTTTATGAATTGTGTGTTCATGTCTGTACACACATCAGAGACTGTGCTTGAGAGCAGGAAGTGGCTGCACAGAGGGCTGAGGAGAACAATCCTTTGTAGACAGTGATGCACACATTCCAGGGACTGTCTCAAAAGGTGCATCCAAGTCTACAAAGGTCCACATGTCTAGGGATGCTGTCAGTATGAACTGAACATGAACACGTGCTTCCTGCAGCAGCTGTTTTGGAGAGGGAAAATGCTCCTGGTGTGCACCAAGTGCCACTGTGTGATGACAGAACACATCAAGCTGGAAGGGACCTGTAAGAATCATCCAATCAAACTCCCAAGTGATGAAACAGTGAGCTGGGGCAGGGCAGACCTACAGCCTCCTCATTTACAGTTTATTCTGTATATGTCCCATCTTGTTAGTTTTATAGACATTTTTGGTGGAAGACCAGCTCCCTTAGAGAGCTCTTGTGCTTGTACAGAATTTTCAGTCTCCACACAATGTTTCTGGTTGGTGTCTGGCTGTTTCCAGTTCCTTCATGTGAAGAGGAGCAGAAGGACAATTGATGTGCTGTTTTGAGGGTCAGAAATAGGGCGATGGTATCTATCCCAGGAATTTGAAGTTACTCGTGCTCTGGAGTTTTGTTGCAGTTGAAAAATAAAAGTCATGCTGCTGATGACAGCACACCTTCCAAATTCTCCTTTGTGGGTGTAGATCAGCTGCTGAGACCAGTGGCTTTTTCCTGCTGCATTCAGGCACCATAAAGATTCTGATGGATGAGTTCTGCACGGGGTGCAAAGTGCTGAAATTCCCTTGCGCTCCAGTGGCTTCAGAGTATCCCACATGCAGCTTTTCTGCCTAGCCTGGATTTCCTTGAATTAGTGCATTCCCTTTGGGGCATATTGGTTGTTAAATGAAAATGTTCCTTTTCAGGTATTTGTGCTGAAAGCGGAAGCTAGGTGCAGGAAAGAGTTTCATAGCTGCTCTGCTGGAATAATCTTTCTAATATATTTGTACATGTTTTTCTTACCCTGGGGTTTCATAATGGTGGGGTTTTTTTCCCCCTTCTCTCAGGGCTAACTTCTGCCTATTCCATCTTGACTTACAGGTCTTTTATTGCAATTTAATAGTTGTTCTTAATCTTTTCCAGGTGCACATAATGATCTTGCTCCTGACACAGATCTTTTGCCACACAGGAAGCCTGTGAGGAAGGTATGAAACAGATTGAGAGCACAGCTATTTATACAGATCATGAAAAACTAGGATATGTAGATTTGAAATCTGTGTGTTACCTTCTGAGAAATTTTGCCATATCTTTAATTTTATTGTGTATCACAGGCTGCCTTTCTGAAGGCTGGATCCAGAGTTCACTGAAATCATTGGAAGTAATCCCTGATATTTTGGACAACTCTAGATCAGACCATAAACCAGGTGGTGGGGTGCTTGTTTTGAACCACTGGACTAATCCAAGTTTTTATCCCCACCTGTTATTAAATCAATAGTTTTGATTCTAATGACACATCAGGCTTTTATTTCCACCCTCCAGTGGAAAGAAGGTGGCTGAGTGTATGCTGTAGGTGGAGGGTGAAGACATTGTCTGAGCACACAGAAAGCACAAAGGTGGCAGAAGGCTCAGTGTCAGTCTGGGAGGAAATGCTGTGCATTAAATCCCCAGCTAGCTGTGATATTTGGGAAGTGCCAGTTGTCAGCACAGTGCCAAAGGAGCAATCTGCTCAGTGCTGGCAGCTCTGCTCTCCTCTGCCAATTCCAAATGCCACTGACTCGCTGGAGAGGGAACCCAGCCTACTCTTTGTTGGAGGGCTGATAGGTGTGAGCAGTGGAGTTGTGTAATAAGTGAAAGAAAGGACAAATCAAGAGGAAATGGAGGAATTCCTCAGGGTGCCATCTGTGATGCAGATTACCAGGGAGGCAGAGTGAAAGTGAATTTCTTCTTTTGTGGATTAATTCTGCCAGGCTGCAATCAGTGAGCTAACATGCATCCTGCCTTTCAGGATCATAAAAAGCAGTGCAAGTGCTGACATCTATTATTAACACTGCTTTCAAATCAGCACTGGAGAGAAATAATGGAATATATACCTGACAGTTGCCAGCTACCCCCACAAAGGCCAGAAAGGTGAGGAGGTGACTTAAATCAGCCGCAGCTTTCTTTGCTCCCTCATCACCTCCTCAGTGCTCGCTGATGATTTCCTCGTGCTCATTAGTAATGTGTTGAAGGTCAGGCCCCAGCTTTCATTTAATAGTAAAATAACTGATTTTAGAGGGCAGAAAGAAGACCCCAAACATCTTTTCTATCTGTTCCTCTCTTCCATTCAACTGCCAGAGATGATTTGTGAATGCTACAATGATACACCTCTGAGTCAGAAACAGACCCTGTTGTTTACCAAGTCCTGAAGTCCGCATCCATTTTTATGAATTTCTGTTGGATTTGAGTTTATATACCAATATTATTTATTTCAAAGCTCTGCTGCAGTAGCAGCAGCTGGCTTTAGACCTGACTGAAGCTGTACTTGATTGCTTTCTCAACAAACATAGTCTCTGCTCCACAGTTTTTGATATGGATGTGTCTTTTTATCTCATGGAAAATATGAGCCCCACAGCTCATTTAGCGCTTACCATTTACTGATATGAATCATTGGAGGACTGTTAGTGTTGCTGCTGTAAAAATAATAATAATAATAATAATAAAAACACACTATGGAAGGAGAGTTCCAAAGGCATTAATAGAAAAATTGCATTCTGGTAGCAAAGGCTGCTCTTCAGCAGAACAACAACATAATGTAAATGTGCCACAATGTTCCAGAATGCTGGACAAGTTCAGTGCTATGTGGATTTTAGATAACAAGTTTTAAGCCCCCAATTTAGTATGGAGATAGCAGCTCACCTGCTTAAAATGAATCCTTTTATTATCAGTCAATTGGAGGGGAATGTATTGGTTGTATTTTTTATCCTATTCAAATAAAAGCCACATTTACGACTCAGTTTTTATAACCAATGCCCCATAATTGCAGCTGAGAAGTGCTTCTTGGATTATCAGTCCTTTCCAGAAGTTACACTCTTCTCCTTGGAAATGTTATCATGGGTGGTCTTGATGGAAAAGCTCTGCAGACTCTAACGGGGAATGTTAAAGTGGCTTCATAAATCTGTGCACACACTGAAGTGGCAGGTTATGTTATTTCATTCTGCACTCTGTAATGCAAGGAGGCTTCAAATTTCACTACAATGGATTTCACTGGGGGCTACAGTCCATGGAAGAAATCCGAGCACCATGGAAACAACTGTAAAACTCTAGTTTCAATGGAGGCAGAATTTTATGCTGTCCCTTTTAGGGTAGTTTTTCCCTCAGCAGTGTCTTTAACTGTTCCACCAAATTTGTTTAAAGTCTCTTCATAAGCCTTGCTAGGAGTAAAGCTGGGCCAAGATGGTGCTTTTGTGACAATCCTGCTATGAGTGTAATATTTTTAAAAACCCAGCTCTTCATGTTCCATAGAATTGTCAGACTTGCCTTATAGACCACTGATATTTATCCATTATTTGCCTAATCCTGCATTTCTTACCCAGAGTTAAGATTTAATGTTAAACTACACACACATAAACTTTCTGATGAGGTAGCTGTTGCATAAATAGTTCTATTTTCTCTGTGCACGGACACTGAGTTCATAAAGCTTTCTCCATGATCTCTGCCTGCTCCTATTTTCCAGAGTGCCCACTGCCCTCCAGGGCAGCCTGCACTTCTTCCACTTCTCTCTGAGATGGGCAGAGGCAGCATTTACAGCTCCTGCAGCTCCTCGTGTGGTGAGCATCTTCATCCCTTTGGATCCAAAGGTCCTGAAAGCAGATGAAAGATTAATGTAAATAATGAAGGGAGAGGATGCTGAAAGTTGTAGGAGGTCTCTCTGCAAAGTTGGTCTTTAAGGTGATGCCAGATTTTTATTCTTTTTTAAAAAGCAAAACTTAAAACCAAGCGCCATAAAAACCCCAGCTCTCTCAGCATCATGATTACCTCTCATTGCAGCCACACTGACTTTAAGAGAATTGTTTCTGATTGAGGCTGATGTAACTGAGCACAAGTTAGGTTTGAGTGTGTGTGTGTGTGTGTATAGATATGTATGGGGAGATAGAATCTTTGTTGTTAGTCTTTAAGTTACTAGAATTGGATTTTTGGCAGCAGTTGTATCACTTTATTCCAACAAAGAGACAGCTTTTTACTAATTTGCTTACTTCATTTTATTTTAGCAATGAAGAGCTGAAGGAAGCTCTCTAGTTTTACATCTCTGTTAGTTTCCAGTCCATTTCTTGGCTATCCTATTCAAACAGCAATCTCAACTTCTCTTAAACACAGAACATTTTCGGTTTAATTATATATAAATAGTTCTTGGGTTTTCAGTTTGACAAAATCTGTTAGTAATGCTTATCTTGTATAAGATTTGTTGAAACTATTGCAGGTTGAAATTGGTGTGAGTGGGAGAACCATGGATTTTGAATATAAATTCCCAGTGTGTTCAAGGTTTCTGTCTAAACAAGAGCTCATAATCTACTGCTTTGTTGCTTAAGTATAAAATAGAACTGGAGTTATTTTCCATCCAGGAGCTGCAGCCAGCCTCTCCAGTTCACCTGGCCGTGCTGTTGCAGTTTGTTCAGGTCTGGACAAGCTCACTGTTGTTCCTGCTGGCACAATCCAGCTGCATTTCCATTCTGGTCAGGTCAGTGGCCATCATTTCCAGGCAGAGATCTTCAGCACGCCCCTTCACTTCAGTCTCCAGACTCGCCTGCAGAGACTCAATTGCATGCTGGTGAGTGTTTCTGTGGACTCCAGTGAAGCATATGGTACAGCAGTCTGTTATCTTGAGTCTGATCCAGCCCTTGTATCAAATTATTGCCCACCAAGTAATAAAAATATAGTAACTTCAAATCTGTTAAAACTGAGATACCAGGACTTTGTACCAAGCCATTCACTGATACCTTCTTTTAAAACAGGGCTGGAGAGATTTTAAGAGGTCATCCTAAAAATCTACTGCCTAAAATATGGATCAGCTCCTGCCAAACCAGTGCCACTTGGTGTGAGACCAGACTGCATTTAACTTCCAATAACAGAGACCATAACCTTCAGACAATCTGGTCCAAGCAATAATTCCCCTTAATGATTACCAAACTTTCCTAATGTCTAACTTAAAACCTCCATGCTCCAACCTTATTATGTACATAATGTAATTATGGTCTATGTGAATATACATACAAAATCCATCCAGTTATAAATGCAAAATCCATCTGGTGGTATGTGGGCAGCAGGCACCAGGTTGCCAGGAATCTCTCACATCTGCAGAATTGATACCTCCAAGGAAGACTCTGCTTCCTCCAGTGCCACCTGCAGTTCGTCCTTCTCAATCTCCAGCCTCACCGTTTGCAGCTCCTGCGTGTTCTTCCCTCCCTTCCTCAGCTGATTGATTAGATCCTTAATTTCCTCTAGGGAAGAAAACAGATATTTCATGTGATAGGTTTATTTCAGGACTACGAACCTTACTGAGTGCATCAGACAGATCCTTTGGCTGGAAATAGCATGAAATGGTTTCAGTCACTTTATGTCAGCTGCCCTTTTCTTTCATTGCTAAATATTATCCTGGATTTCTGAATGAGCCCTGCTAGCTGCATGTGTTCACAGAGGTGGAAGAATGAAGCACACTAAATAATGAGAATTTTTTCCCAGTTTTTATCCAGCCTTCCCCTTTCCCCCTTTCAGATGGTTGCTTTCACAAAATGGGAACAGGACACCACATCATCTCCCTGCAGCAGAGAGGGACTCTCTGCCAGCTGATGGAGGCTGGAGCAAAGGGCTGGGGGAGAGCCCAGGAAACTCTGGGTGTGTGCCAGAGTGTCCATCACTGTTTTCTCTTGGCCACAAGGACAAGAGACTGTAGCATCTTCTAAATGCTTACAGTGTCCTCTTCCAGAGTCCTGTAAGAGATCATTTTTTGTAATTTACAGAACTGTAAAAAAAAAAAAAAAAAAAAGTGAGGGGAGGGAAGGGGTAAAGGTGTCACTGAACAGCCAGTAGGGAGGAGGGATGCAAAGAGGGAGATTGAGAGGAGTCTGACTGACTTGCTCTGAGCTGATTGCTAGAGATGCTGAATCCTCTCCACGGAGGTTAAAGGGAATATCATCTTTCCAGGGTAAAGCTGGCTGTTGTTAACAGACCC